AGCCAGCTTTCCCCGCTGACTTCTCTAGGGGCACATGACCGTAAGTCCGCTGTCTTTTGCTTCCCGCTGGCTCATTCCTAAACCGCAGAGCCTCTCCACATACCTCTATCACCAGGCTCTTCCACAAGATACCCACCCTCCTTCAGAGGAACAAACTACAGATTCCCAGATGGACTGTAAACACCATTCTCTTCACTTCCTGCAAGACTATTCATGATCCTTGCAAAACCCTCACACAGTACCGAATGAGAGAGGAATCTGAGCCTGGGGGTTGCTCCAGTGGTGTTAAAGGTGGATAGGGGGTTGGAGAAGAGTCTTCATTGTCTGCTGCAGACTTGGACAGGAGCCTGGTGAACACCTGAGAGATGGGACAGGGCTGGGCTGCCTCTGCTTGGAGGCGAAGGTGGAAGTCTGCATCTCCCTACCTGGCCCCTCAGGCTCGGCATCACCATGCCAACCGACAGACACTGTATGTAGGCCAGTGGACTGGCAACCTGAGGGAGCGGGAGCAGATGGGAAACACATACCCCAAGCCCCCCAAGGATAGAGACATGAGCCGGGCTGGTGGGAATGGAGCAGTGGAGCCGGAGGAGTTAGAGGGGTACCTGGCAGTGCCGGACTCTTTCAGGAACAAGCCAAGCCTGCAGCTGTCACTCATGACCTTTTTCAGAGCTTCCCTATTCTGGGCAAGCCAGGATGTCTGAGATGCCACAGGCTTCCTGGGGCTGGAAGGCCCGGAGCTAGAAAAGGCAGGACAGTGGTAAGATAACAAACCTTGGTAGACACAGGTGTCTCAGGGGTCGCATGCTCACCATAGAACTCTGGAGGAAATCGCCAAGGCCCTGATGCCACCATGGAGCCCCTGTGGGGTTCCTGATGGTGCGGCCTGTATTCTGTGCCAGTCTCTCATCTTGGCTTTCAGGCTCTGAATAAGATGTCGCATGGTGTGCTGAACTCAGAAAGTCAAGACATCCTGATTGGAATCTACAATCCATTGATGGTTCCAGAGTGTAGTGTATGGGGGGGGCGTGTTCTGGTGTCTGAGAGAGTGGAGGGAGGGAAAAAGGAGGGAGGGTGGGTGTTAGGTCTGAAACCTGGTACCAGCAACTGAAGTGTCCACTAACATATCAAAGCAAACCTGGCCACCAGGTTCTCCCAGCATCCTTCAGTCCTTGCCTGTTACAGGGTAAGGCAGGCATGCCCTGCCCCCTACCCTAATTCTTTTCTGCCCAGTGGCTGGGCTGTCCTTCCCCCAGGTGTCCTTCCCCCAGATGTCCTTCCCCCAGGTGTCCTTCCCTATGTAATGGAGCCATTTTGGTTACCTGGCCCTTTTGTTTTATCTTTACCCTCCTAGACTCTTGGCCAGTCTCTTAGCTCAGGCCACTCCTTCTTGGTGAGTGGCTCCTCTCCTCCCTCCCCCATCCCTCTCCTCACATGGTCCAGCTCAGTGTGGTCATGTTCACCCTGGACTCTTCCAGATGTCCCTGCCTCTGGCTACGCTCTCGCTTTTATCTGCAGCAACCTTTCTCTTCCTCCTAGGAGCAGCTCTGTCCTTTCTTTTTTTTTATTTTTATTTTTTTTTCATTCACATTTCAGAGCCTCTCTTGTTTCATGAGAAGTTATCTGTATGTATTCTGGGTCATGATGAATATGCGTTTTAACTGGCTGGCAGCGAAAACTTGAAAGCCGTTGCCCTGGAAGGCCCCTTTCAATTGATTTGTTTTCATTGCTCACAGCTCCTACATGTATTCATTTCATTTTCACATCTGAACGCAAGCAAGAACAGTCCCAGGCTCTTTTTGTCCTAAACGATGGATGAGTTAACCTTTTCAAACTTAATTTCATAAAAGCATCTAAAAGAGGAGCTAAGTGAGAAGAGGGTCTGGTCCCTTCTGCCTCCCTGACTCTGCTCTCTGCAGCTCTCAGGGCGTCGCTCTCCAGGCGTTTGCTGGGTGAGAGGTTTACTGTCAGTCTTCCCACACGCCCATAACAATAAAATATTGAGGAGGGGAAAGAGACCTAAAAATGAAGAAAACAAACAGAGGGACGTGTTCCAGTGAGAGTGCAAAGGGCACCTTTTACCAGGAGACCTTCTGTCACACAAGGTCTGCGGGAACATCAAAGAGACAAAGTGATTCATTTGAATCTTACTTCATGGCCAGAGGCTCAGCCAGGGCCAGCCAATCTCAGAGACATTGCCCAGGATGCAGAAAAAAGGAGTTTATAGGTGAGGACAGGCCATGGATTCCCATAGGCACCCAGGGCCTGGGAGAGATACCCAGAGGCCAGGCTTTGCCTGATGGAGAGAACAAGGTGGCCTCAGGCTGGGCCCAGGAGTCTTCCTACAGAGTGTGCACCTGGCAGGGACCTTTCATTAGTATTCAAATGGATGAGTTTCAGAGTCCTAATGTAGAGTCCTGTGTAGAACAAAGGCACAAACAGTCCTTGGTGAAAGTGGTCAGAGAGGAATACTGAGCAGAGGCAATCTAACCAAGTGACCAAAACCACCCTTCCTAGGGACAACAGAGAATTCAGTTCATGGTATCTTTACAGAAAAGACAAGGGAAATACATTTTCCCCTGTTATGAAGCAATCTTCCTGAGAATAAACCTGGGGTGGAAAAAAAATCTTGTTCAATATAAATACAAAATGTTGTGTTATAAGGTCATAAACAGTATGATAGAGTAACACAGACTGTAGTGGGCGCTGTTGCCTGGAATGGTTTGATGGAACGGATAGAGATATGAAGGAGCGAGGAGTCTGGAGAGCCAGATGAAAGGTGCTGGTCCAGGAACTGGGGGAAGAGGAGGAGGAGGACATGACTAGGTCTGTGTCACAGAGTGTGTTAAACACCACCAGGACATCTATAACCTTGCAAATTTGCCAAACCTAGACCCTCCCTCCGAGTTCTTCATGGCCGCTTTTTCCAGACTGTGATCCAATAGGTGAAAAGTACAGGGAATTTTTTTTTTCAGAGGTAGGGTGAAACAATGAAGGTCAGAAAGAAACCTAAGGCTCAAGTGACTCCAAAATGTCAACAAGTTTTAAGATGGGGAGGGTTTTTGCTACACTGTCTTGAAAGGTTGACGTGAAGGTTGAATAAAACATTCAGAGACATCTTTTCATACTCTAGAACATGTTACATATGCTAACTTCCAGTTCACTGCTTCGGAAAGAATTCACAGTCGATCGCTATGGAGTCCGTAGGTGCTCAGCTTCCATTGCCTCTTGCAGAGGTTCGTGGGACTTCAGAAAGCCCCAAGGTGATGGGTGTTGAGATTTCCTAGTAGGCTTTTCTTCTTCTGAGAGTCAGCTTTCCCATAATGCTCCGGAAAGCGAGTCTTTCATTTAGAATAAAGAACCCTCCACCAGACGGGTAAGGCTTCCAAAGGACCATTTGACATAGATGGTCCATCCTTGAGTTCAAACACAGCGTGTCTCATGTTTTCTGACATTGTTAAAGCCTTTCCAGAATGTTTCAATGACAGTGCCTTTGTTTGGTTGGTTGGTTGTCTGGTTTTTGTTTTTTGAACCAGGGTTTCTCTGTGTAGTTCTGGCTGTCCAGGAACTCACTCTGTGGACCAGGCTGGTCTCAAACTCAGAGATCTGCCTGCCTCTGCCTCCCAAGGGCTGGGATTAAAGGCTGTGCCACCATGCCCTGCTTGACAGTGCCTTTCAATGAGCTGCTTCATGGCTTCCCTTCAGAACCCCGGTATCCGGAAGCGCTTCCTTCTGGTTAGCCTCTGTTGATTTCTTGGGGTCAGACATCAAGAGCTGAAAAAGTAGCGGTGCGTGGAGGTGCACACCTATAATCCCAGCACTCTGGAGGCAGAGGCAGGCCGATCTCTGTGAGTTTGAGGCCAGCCTGGTCTACAAAGGGAGTTCAGGACAACCAAGGATATACAGAGAAACCCTATCTCAAAACAAACAACAACAACAAAAGGGAGCTGAGAACAGCTTGATTTCTTCCACGCTAAGGCACCTGTTTGAAGAATGGTGACTGCACTTGCCGCCTTGCTGGGCTCTCTCCCTTCACTGGCCAACCAGGTCACTCTAAGCAAACTACTGAGCCTTTGTTCCCCTCCTCCCGGTCCCCTCTGAACCTCTGCTCAGCATTATCTTCTCTGACTGAAGGAGGTCACCAATTGTAGGGTGATCTCGTGGGTATCTGTTCTAGAGCACTCTGACGCTTATTTCTCCATGCACCCTCCTTCTGAAAGGAGGGACCCTCATCGACCATCTCTCTTCAGCATCGGGTGCGGTGCGGTACAGGTGCCCTGCAGACCTCATACCGGGTATGAGTAATTTTTATCCAGATTTTTCTTCAGCGAGTTCTCAGTAGCCAACCACAGTTCCAGGTCTTGGGGCATACTTTGTGCCTGTTTCATTCCCTCACACCAGGTTTTCGGTGGCGAGGGAGGATCCGGGGTGCAGAGACCCCAGGAGCTAATGAGATCGCAATTAGCCAGGAACATGCTCTGTTGTTGTGTGTGGTCAACAGAGGAACGTCGGGAAGGAGAGAGCACGCAGCTCCAGGCTCCACTGCGGGCCCCGGTGCTTCTCCTAACCGGTGGAGTCCAGCTTTCCCACCGCTGCGCGGAGAACGGCTCCTTGCAGCGCGCCGCGGGCGTCCGAGTCCTGGGTCAACTCAGGTGCGAGTGACGCACCTGGCGCAGGCGTCTGCCAGTAGACCGGGTAGAACCACGGCGACACGGGGGAGGTGGGGGGTGGCAGACACATCACCGCAGGCAGAACGACGATCTGCACACGCGGTGTCATGAAAGACTGTCCCGCGGGGGGCAGACGCCTGCGCTGCGCGCTGGCCGTGATCGTGGACCCCGTCCCGGGGCAGGATCGCCAAGGCGAGGGCGCTGTGGTTGATTCCAAAGTCAAGAAAGTTTCAGGGCAGGAGACGGCAGGAGCTGGTGGGCGTGGCTGCGGGCAGGGCGGTCCGGGGGCGGGGCCTTTCGGGGGCGGGGCCAGGTGCGAACAGTCTCTGCTTGTCAAAAGGCAGCTGCCGAGCCCGAAGCCCCGGTTGCGCCCAGCATCGTGTCCACTCGCCAGACCAGGTGCGGATCGGGGAGCCTTCGGGAAGGGGGTCCAGGGTGAGGGGTTAGACCCGGGGGGCGGGCGTCCGGGTTCTAGAGGACTGAGCGCCCAGGTGCGAGCACTAGAGTCCAAGTCTCGGGAGCAAAGTTGGCGACTGAGATCCGGGCTGTGGTGCCATGAGGTTGGGACTCCGAGAGGGCACCCGGGTCTGAGAAAGCCGAGGTTCGTGGGAGGCTGGCGAGGGGGCAGCCTCCTCCGCGATGCTCAGGAGGCTCGGTGTAGGAGTCCTTCGCTAGGACGGTGCTCAGCGCTGGACAACAAGAAGCGTTTGTTTCTTTCCGCGGACGGGAGCTTTGGCATGGAGTGGGGGAGTAAGAAAGGGAGTGATTGGCTGTCGATGCTGCTGAGATCTCCGGAGGTGGCGAGTGTGTAGCCTGTTTATTACCCTGTAGGGCCCGTGTGTCGTCACCTGTGAGAATGGAGTGGAGTGGAATCTTTTAAATGGAGTTTTTCTTGACTTTCTAAAACCGCCCGTACTTTGAGACTAGTGTACTGGGATTTCTTTTTCATGGGAGCCGGTCCACAGATGTCCAGAGGGACTCAGGGGCGAGCATAGAAATTAAGGAAGGGGTTTTAAGGAATGGTTTCTGTTTGGAGAGTGATTTGAATCCAGTGGTGAGTGTTATTCCAGGGGAGGATCTAGGGCGGGAACTTGGTGTGATAGATACCCAGTTCCACTCTCTCCACTACCACTGTCGCCCACTCGAGGCTGAATCTGCCTGCTTGGAGAGAGCCTTGGCTTTCTGAACCTAAACCACGCTCCTGCTTCTGTTGCTGCTGCTCTTCCTCGTCCTCCTCCTCGTCCTCCTCCTCCTTGTGGTGAGTGAGTCAGCCTCCTGTCTGAGCTCAATAGCAGCCAGAGGGGCCAGAGCCCAGGCATGCAGTTGGGTAGGCATTTTCTGAGCATTGCAGAAGTTCCCTTGGACAGAATTCAGCTCTGTCCCCAGTGCCCTGAGGAAGGCCATCTTCTTCATGACAGCAGAGAGAGGGGTATCAGCAATGTCTGTTTGGTGGACATGGTATGATCCCAGGAGATGCCCATGAAGAGACAATGGCTTTGTGGTACCTCTTTCTATTCTTTAGAACTGGAGGTACATCTCAATACTGTGGGTTTATCAGCTTCTGGTTCCATTTCTACCTTGTCAGCCACCCATCTCTCCTAGTGAGGCAGGCATGCAGGAGGAATCAGAAGGTTCAGGGATCAGAAAGTGCAAGGAATGCTCTCCCCACACTAGGGAGTAAGAGTGGATTTCTGAGAGGCAGAGAGGGGCTCTCCGGACCTAGGATCTTCAACTCTGTGAACTGAGGGTATATTTTCCATTTGAGGGACTATCTCTATTTCTTCCCCCAGCTGAAGACTGAAGAGAACTGTGCAGACATTTCTGAAACACTCCTTAGTTCTGGCATACAGCCATAACAGGAGGCAGCAAGAGTAAAAGTTTCTGTCTGGTTTTGTTTCAGGTACTAGAGACCCTTGAGCAGAAATAGGTGACCTAGGGCCCCACACAGTAGAATTTTTCTAGCTTTTATGAGAAGAACCCAGGGAGGCTAACATTGTGACATTGCCTCAAGCTGCAAAAAGTAGAGATCTCCGTTCAGTGCTCTGGCTGAGTCCCACGGCTTTAGGTTTGGCTGCTCCTGATCAGCTGTGACTTGGTTCCAGACCAAGGCAGAGGAGGGACTGGAAAATGGGAGAAAGGAAGAGTCTAGCTGACCCATCCCCCACTCTTCTCCAGATACAACCATAAGACTGTGTCTATTCTGGAGGTGCTGGTGCTTCAGGACACTCTACTTATTTGTAACAGGGTTCCTCAGTCTCCCCCCCACCCCCACCCCCCATCTACCTTTGAATTGATCTCTTTGAGAGACTGAGTCCCTTGGGAAGCTCTCAAAGACCCCTGGACCTCTGCCTTCAGCCTGGACTGCAGGTGTCCAAAGCCTGGGCTTTCAATAGAGGAAGGCCTAGGATCTGAATGGCTAGACCAAAAGTTACCCAAGACAGGAGAATGTCACTGTTCAGTTCTTCACCCTACATCCCAGGAACTGGCTGAGATCAGCCTCTTGGCTGCTGTTGCCTGTGCAGCAGAGAGGCCAGGCCAGCTGCATCACACTCTAATTCATAGCTGGATGGTGGAGGAGAGGCTCAGGCTTCTGCTTGTCGCTGCTGTGAGTCCATTTGGGATGCAGGTACAGGGATGAGGACGTGGCCAGATACACTAAGAGCCTCCTGTGTGTATCTCAGCACGGTGCTGGGCCCCCAAGGGATGCCGGCAAAGCAGACCAGGCCTCGGCCTCCAAAGCGAGCTCCAGGAGGAGCAGCAGCCCTGGCACCATCTCACTGCTCTCCAGTTGGAAGGCTCCTACTGGGCTGAAGCCAGCCCAACAGCAGCTCTAGACCACCAGAGCTCACTTTCAATTTTGCCTCCCTCTGTCCTTAACCTTCCCCCATGTCAGTGCCCCGATGGATATACAAAGAAGAGTGACTATGATTTCTTATCCAACCTGTGATTCTCAGGAGTGAAGGGGGTTTGTGTGTGGCCACGCCAAGACATAAACCCAGTCCAGCCGAAGCTGGACATCTAATCATCCAAACCCAGGAGAGGTCACACAGATTACAAAAGGACAAGGGGGTTGGGATCGAGTTAATGCCGGGGTGAGGGTGGGGCATCACCATCCTGAAGGAAGCCCCAACATGCATGCATGCAGTCTGGCCTGCTCAGACAAGGCCAGTCCTTTCCTGAAGGGTAGAATTACTCCATCTTGTCTCAAGACCTAGCTCATCACTGGAGTGACTTCCTTTGGCTCTTCACCTGTGACTGTCCTTGCCTTTGGCTTTTCTTGTACCACTCCTACCTCAGAAAGGGACAGGAAGACCTGTCAACTCTTCTTCAGCTCCCCCAGGGGAACTGCGATAGAGTTAAGCCAAGACTCAGCCTCATGCTTCATTTTCCCTGTTTCCTCCAGCTTCCCTGTTTGCCCTTCTGGCTTCCCAGACCTCTGGGGACCCTCACATGCCACAAAAATGTCCCATTCTAAAGTGAGTAAACAGCCAGGAAGGGAAGGATATTCAAATCTTATCCACGTGGTAGATAAAGGGCATAGGTCATTTGGAGTCACGATCCAGGAAAATGACACCCAAGATAGGAAACAAAGCTGGGGAGATGCTACTAAGTAGGACACGAAACTGATGTTCTTGGACTCTAGCTTTTGAGTTTTCTATCTCTGATGTGGAGAAATGGTCCAGGGTGGAGACAGACACTTCTTGCTCAACGTAAGCTATAGGCGTTGGTGGCGGCAGCAGCATCCGGTAGTAGTGACATGTGGAAAAGAAACTAGCCTCCCTTCTGAGTCCTGGGGCTTGTGGTCCAGATTCTCAGGGCGGCCTCTCTGGAGAGTCCCAAGAGGCCGAGTGTGTGAGTGATTCGGGCGTAAGACACGGGGGAGTCGAGCCTTGATGACTGCAGAGTGACTGTCTACTCTGGCAAGCAGGGAGTCATTCTTTCTCATCACCACAAATGAAAAGAAGGAGCGAGTGAGACCTCTTGGGGAATCCCACCCGCTTGTACAGAGCTGGGAGGTGGTGAGAAGCGCCCCCCTCAAGCTGTGTGGGGGAGGGCAGGGTGGCTAGTGGGCAGACGGCAGAGGCTTGAGGGAGAAGCAGAGGGAGCTGGGAGTCTGTGCGCTTCGCTCCTGCAAACCTGCCCTGCAGGTCTTGTGCCAAAGAATAGACTACGCAGTGTTCCCAGAACCAGATGCCACACAAAGTCTTCATTCTGCACAGGGGAGAGTCCTGGTCATTAGCAGGGTGTAGGCAGCTGTACCAGCGGGAAAGGGGAGTTTGGGCAGGACCCAGCACCGGTTCCTGGGAAGCTACTGCCTCTCACTGGCCTTCGGATGCCAAGCCTGCCAAGCCGAGGCTTTGAGGTATTCTGCATGGTGTGACACTGCAGGCACTGCAGAGCTCTCAGGCCTTTGCGGGTGACAGGTCTAGTGTGTGCCACCTGCTGGCCCCAGAGTCGTAATTCTAGGAACAGTGGCTCAGAGAGCACTAGATACCAGATGCTATTCTGTGTAGTTAACAGTCACGGCCTCCTGGCCAGATCACTCTGCTGGGTTAAGAAGGACTCTTGTCCCCACCCTATAAACGGCAAAACTGAGGCTTACGGGGGTTGCAATATGCAAAGAAGACTCAGGACCAATACCCAAGTCTGCAAGATGCTGAAACCACACAAGCAGCCCCCAGGAACTCTATACCTGTGCACTGCCAGGGCAGTGGCAGACACCTAGTGCCATGGCTTGCGAGTTATAGGCTCGTTTGTGAGCTGTAGGGTTAGATTTGCCAACTAGTTTGAACAAGCTGACCTGAGAGTAAGTTCCCTTTGGTCAAAGGTTGCTCTGGGGATGGCAGTGTCTCAAAAGGCTCCTTTAGACTTCCGTGCCTCTGTTGTGGTCTTAGATACACACTTAACTCCATGTCAGAGGGATCAGAGAACCTGAAGAACACAGCATGGTGCAGAATCCAGCAAGACTTGCATGACCTGGAGAGCAAATAAGGAAGCCTCTTCCGGTTCCAAACTAACCGACGCGGTGCGGGTTAAAGAGGTCACCAGCCCATCCGAGGTCCCCTCCATTATCTACCCCACCCTGCCCGACTGCCCCTTTGAGGTTCCTGACCCCAGCTAGCTCTCTTACCAGAAAAAAGGGACTCTAGCCTGGCCCTGTGCTGATGGAGCGCTTGGATCCTTTCATTTCCACGCTTCCCCTTGACACTAATATGCTACCTGGCCCTTTATCAGGCAGTGGAGGGTTTGAGGTCGGCTAGCAACTGGGAAGAGATAAAGTCAGAGTTTCTGTATTTGTCACTTTCTAGTTAGTGACCTTGGGCAAGTTTCTTAATCCTTCCAAACGCCCGTTTCCTTATCTTTAAACTGGGGATAAGCACAGCCCTGCTTCGGGATTG